GAGAATTATTTGTCTGATAGACAACAGAAAGTTGTAATAGATGGTTTTACATCAAACCCTGAAACGGTAAATGCTGGTGTTCCTCAGGGTTCTGTTCTGGGACCATTTCTATTTCTTTTGTACATTAATGATATTTGTGATGATCTAGTTAATAATATAAGACTTTTTGCTGATGACACTTCTTTATATGCTATTGTAGACAATGGAAATGTAGCACAATCTCTTACTGATGACCTAGAACATATTGATAAATGGTCAAAGAAATGGCTGGTTGATTTTAATCCTAACAAAACTGTGAATTTAAATTTTAGTAGAAAAAACCTTGTATATTCTCCTGTTAAATTTGGAGAACATGGCCCAGATATTATTCAAAAAAATTCTCATACTCATCTAGGTTTACATTTTCAAAGAGATGCCACGTGGACATCACACATACAAATAATTCATGAAAAAGCTACAAAAAGATTAAACATTCTTAGAATGCTTAAGTATAAGGTTACACGTAAAACACTTGTTAAAATATATTTTGCATTTATTCGACCTGTAATGGAGTATTCTGATGTTGTTTGGGACAATTGTTCTGAAAAAGATTCTAAACTTTTAGAAGACATACAAGTTGAAGCAGGCAGAATTATCACTGGATTAAGATGTAATTCTTCTCGTTCAAAATTGTATGATGAAATAGGATGGGATCTTCTAAAAACAAGGAGAAAAATTCATAAGCTTATATTGTTTTATAAAATTATTAACGGTTATTCTCCTCAATATTTGTATGATTTGATTGAACCCTATCGCCCATCAAGTCATTCTTATAATCTCAGAACTAATGATGTACAATTCAAAATTCCTAGTATTAGAACAACATCTTACATGGAAAGTTTTCTTCCCTCTACAGTCAAACAATGGAATATCTTGCCAGATTATATTAAAAATGCTCCTGGAATATGTTCCTTTAAGAGTCTTTTAAAATCCTATTTTTGTAGAAAAATTAATGAATTTTTTCATTGTGGAGTAAGAAAATATAATATAATACATTGTCAGATAAGGAATAATGCTAGTATAATTTGATGGCAGATTTATATAATCAATGTTTAGCAGAAACTCCAATGTGTGAACATTGTGCTGGCAGTATTGTTTTGTTGCTGCTATAAATGTATGTACAGCTTCAAATATTTGTATATTAATATCAAGTCCATGATTAGAACTACCATTTACAATAAATCACATTCAGATATATTGTCACAATTTATAATCTTATGTATTGATTGAAAAAGTACATTTCTTGGAATTGTATATCTTGGACATACAAAAAAGTAGTGGTAGGCATCTTCAATACTGCCAGCACAATGTTCACAATTATAGCATAATACAATTATTATAATACAATTAACGGAATAGCATTGGTTTTTTTAATTCATATCTGACCAAAAAAAAAAAAAATTCCTACCTACCAACCCAATCATTAATGGACTTGGTCGGCAACGCCAAACCAACAATTTTTTAACGTTGGCCTTGATATACATCCCTGCTTTCCATTAAAAATACCAAACAACCACTTATAAACTTGTTAAATTTGATAACTGAAGCATATAGGTATCTTTGATAAAATGTTTTATTGCTTATAAATGATTTTGTGAGATGGTGAAAAACTAATATGGACTAAAACTGCCTCAGTTAAGAAAGATTAATGCATACATGGATGTAGTCCGAAATATCTGACATTTTCCTGTTGTTTTTTTTTTTACGATTTTGATATTTTACGTGCCAGGAAAACGTCAGAACCGGCGCCATTAAGAAAACTGGAAATTTCGCCTTCTCCAACCGGAGTTGATTTTCGATACTTGCAAATCGAATTAAATGCCGAACTCACAATTTATCGATAGCACAATGCTTCTAATACTCACCAATATCGATGAAAAGAAAACATCACTCCACATTTCGATACAGGACTTGCAAGATTTTAAAATGCACGAAATGAAAACAAATCTCGACAGTCAGACACAATGTTTTCATCGGATTGTATATTTTATAAACGAACCATAAAAACGATGTTGATGAGTACTAAAAGTATTGTACTGTTGAAAAGTTGTGAGTTTGACATTTAATTCGGTTCGCAAGTATAGAAAATCAACCCGAGAATGCCGCCTCCGGTTGGAGGCGGCGAATTTCCAGTTTTTGTAATGGCGCCGGTTCTGACGTTTTCCTGGCACGTAAAATATCAAAATCGTAAAAAAAAAACAAAAAAAAAAAAAAAAAAAAACAAAAACAAAAACAAAAAACAGGAAAACGTCAGATATTTCGGACTAACATGGATGATATCCTCCAACTTGAATGTTAAAACATCAACAATGAAAGTTAAAACATTCAAATTTTAATTATCCACAACATATTACGAGGGGCATTTCAAAAGTTCTGGCAACTGGTATATAAAATTTTAACTACGTTACGGATTAAAATGGCTCTGATACCACTGTAAAGCTTAGGCAAATATGCATTAGTAGTGACGTCATTTTACATTCAAAATGACGTAAAGGTCTGCTAAAATGACGTCATAATTAGGTATACTCTGTATACTGGGCGTAAAAATGACTGATAAGGCCAAAATAAAAAATACCTTTGTTTCCCCTAACGCGACCGACCCAATTAAATCCTGCCGACTGAAAAGTTTTTTTTAAGAAGATTATTCAAATATTTTTTTAATTTTTATCAACTTTTATGAAATACAATTTCATCAAAACCCGTTCTTATTAGAAATTCAGAATGTATTTTCAAAGCTGCTGTCAGAAAAAAAAAATATTTACCTACCTACCTACCCAACTTCAATTTCTAGGGTCGGGTTAGGGGAAACAAGGATATTTTTAATGATGGCCTAAGGAGAACAATTTTTTTTGTTGAGCAAAGAGCGTATTGCAAAATTCGCTCATTGCTTGGCTTTACGGCAACAGAAATAAAAGCCGATTTAGATGTAGTATATAGAGAGCATGCTCTTTCATATCGAGCAATAGCAAGATGGGTAGTTCAGTTTAAAGAGGGTAGAAAATCAATTGAAGATGACCTCCGTTCGGGGCGTCCAGTTTGTGCATATGGCGAAAAAGAAATCGTCGCTGTTCAAAATACGATAGCTGATGATGCTAGATATACAGTTGAGGAAATAGCAGACTTAACTAACATTAATTCGTCAGCAGTTTTTCGTATTTTAAAGGAAAACTTAAAGCTTAGGAAAGTCTGTGCTAGATGGGTGCCGCATCTTCTCTCGGAAGAGCAAAAGCGCATCCGGGTAGAAATGGCTTCACAGTTACTAACAATTTATGAAGATTGTGACCAAAGGCGAATAAATGATATTGTAACTGGTGATGAAACATGGATATATTTTTTTGAACCGGAAACTAAGCTCAATAATAAAGTTTGGATTGGTGAAAATGATACAAGGCCTCAAATTGCACGCAGAAACCGGTCTGTCCGGAGAGTAATGTACGCCTTATTTTTTGATTCTAAAGGCCCTGTTGCTCAAGTTCCGGTTCCAGAACACAGCAGTGTTACTGGTCAATTTTATGCAGAGAATGTCTTGTCTCAGGTTGTAGAGCACTATAAAACGACCCGACCAACAACCAGTACTAGAGGAATAAAGCTCCTCCATGACAACGCACCTGCCCATAGATCAGAGGTAGTAACCAAATATTTAAAGGAAAATGGTATTGCCGTTTTACCACATCCACCCTACAGTCCTGACCTAGCTCCATGCGATTTTTGGTTGAATGCCGTTATCAAAGAAGCCCTCCGAGGACGGCGATTTGAAAGTCGTCATGCAGTCGGAAGTGCCGTATTCCAGTGTATGAAGCGTATACCGAAAGAGGACTATAGGGCAGCATTTTCCACGTGGATTTCAAGACTGAAAAAGTGTGTCCAGGTCAAGGGAGACTATTTTGAGGGATTGATATAATTTAATTTATGATAATGACGCTCATTAATTTACCGCACACCAGTTGCCAGAACTTTTGAAATGCCCCTCTCGTATAAACACTGTCATATACATATGTGGTATATTGTATATTCTCTATTGAGAAGTTGATGGCTCGTTTTAATACTCCCCATCATTGAGGGGGAGTATTAAAACGAGCCATCAACTTCTCAATAGAGAATAGTATATTGTAATATTTTCAATATTTTCAAACCGGTACTACTTTGTACTCTTGCTTATTTTTTTTTCTTTCCTTTTGTAATTTTTCTCCTTTTGTCTTCTGTAACTTTGTTCATTTTTGTTTTTGCTTTCTTCTTTTGTACATTCTTACTTTTGCTTTAATAATTAATTTACTATGTATTTGCCTTGACCTTGATGTAGGGAGAGGGCTAAAATAGGCTGAGCCTGCTGCCCAATCCTATTCACTCTTACATCTGTGAATAAAATATTGTTTAAATAAATTTTCAGCATAGGGTGCCTTGCATTTACCCCCAAGAAAAATGTTCAAAGAAAATGAAGTACTGATGAGCATAAATCACTGTTGTTTACTTAAGTGGGCAAAATTTACCTGCACATGAAGTGTTCTATCTTGGCCTATTCATTTTGGCCTATTAAAGTGTTATGAATGCTTGATTTGATCGCAAATTAAGTAATAAACTGTACATTTCAATTTATTTAATTCTTGATCAAAGGGCAAATCACTCTATCTGCATAAAAATACCACAAAATCAGAACTCTCTAGTGTGCAGTGTATAGAGGGTTCTTAATAACAAAATAACATGTTATAATGTTATATAAGTCCCTGTCTGTGATTAGAATTTTTGATGAAAATAGAAATTAAAATCAATTTCATCTATAAGAATCGTTTGAAGTTTTCATGAATAATAGTTAAATGTTCATCCTCACAGGAAAATTAGTGATACGAACTAACCATATTTGAAAGTGAAAGTAGGCATGTTCCTTTTGGAGTTACACCCCTTTCGCTTTGTGCTCGGATGTTACCGAAATTAATGAAACAAGGCTTTTTAATCCCTTTGTGTCAGATTTAATTATATTCAATTTTCTTTTTTTTTACCTGCTCAGTTGATATTTATGTGTGTTTCACTGTCAGCTTCCATATATTCAACTTGGTCACATGACGTCTTTCAATCAGCTGTCAACAGGTCAATGACAGTAACATCAAGAGTTGTAAGAAATTAATACCTGTCCGAAATGGACGTGAGTTTGGTGTCAGATCAGGACAATTTCAAAAGTGCCACAGAGAGTAGCGAGGATGAGGAGACAGTTAGTGCCAATGACCGACTCCTGACTGCTGCCAGGAACGGCCAAGTAGAAGTGGTCAAGGATTTGATCAGCAAATCCAAACGTGGGGAGATAAGTCTTGATGTTAACTGTAAAGGTTTGTTCAAATTAAGCTTAGTGAATTATTAGGCTTGAATATTTAAGAATGAGTAATTTTCTTTTTTTTTCAATCAGTAAACTTGTTTTAACATTACAACAATTTTAAAAAAAAAGTAAATTGATAAAAAATTTCAAAATGGCCCTTTCAAAACTGTTTATCAAAGTTATCAAATTTAACAAGTTTATAAGTGGTTGTTTGGTATTTTTAATGGAAAGCAGGGATGTATATCAAGGCCAACGTTAAAAAATTGTTGGTTTGGCGTTGCCGACCAAGTCCATTAATGATTGGGTTGGTAGGTAGGAAAATTTTTTTTGTCAGATATGAATTAAAAAAACCAATGCTATTCCGTTAATTGTATTATAATTGTATTATGCTATAATTGTTTTGGGTTTGTTGTTTAAGATAACAACTATATCTTATATAAAAAAAAGAGAGGAGACAATTTTTAATTGATTAATATCTAAGTTAATTATTTAATTAAGGAAACTTTTATTTGATTAATATGTAAGTTGATTATTTAATTAAGGAAACTCTACCAATTGGCAATCAAAATTAAGTTCAGGCATAGTCTACAGTTTACAAAGAAACTTGTAATTGCGGTTGATTTCTGATTTTCCCAATAATTTTGTCTGTAAAAAATAAGGGCAATGATTGAACTTTAAAATTCCGTCTTAGTAACATATTGTTTCATGGACTTTATTTCAAAATGACCATTTAAAGCTTTAGCCTAGGGTCTGGGATTCAAATCTTTAGGGGACCCCATAATTTTTGCTTTTTCATTGCACATGTTAATTAATTTCCAATGAATTTTAGGCAATCAGAAGTTTAACAGGGGTTGGACCTCTCTTCATCTTGCTGCTTACTTTGGTCATAAGGATGTGGTGAAGATTTTATTGGAGGTAGGCATAACATTTAATCTAATTAATCATATATATAAGGAATTAATTAACAAACCCAAGTTATAACGGTATAAGCAGGGTAAGGGCAGTTTATAAACCACAAAGAGCATGCTGTTCCAGCTCAGCTTATACAAGTATAATAATGAGTTCAGTTACTTTTAAATTCATTCCTTTAAATTTATTTTCTACCATTAATTTAAGGAGTACATTGTAATAACTCTCTGCTCTAAATTTCACATTTTATTTTGATTTCCCCAACATTGATTTTTATCAACAGCAATATCATTAGATTCAAATTGAAATGAGTATGAAGTATGACATGATTTTTTTTTTTCAGAAATAGATTTAATGTCTAATATGAGGAAAATTTGACACAGCTAGTGAATAGAAAGGGCAATAATTTATCAATACGTTCTATTTCCATTAGTGAACTCTTCAAAATTAGAGGCGCGTTTGGTCGTCTGACTGGGACCAGCATGGTGTTGCGGATAATACAAAACATGCCAATCTCAATCCAATTTTAAATGTTAAATGTATTTGTCATTCCAGTTAAAGAATATAAGAACTAAAAGACATATGTAAGAGAGCGAGAATCCTAAATTTATCATCCATTAATAGCGAGCGCAGCGAGCGGTGCGAAGCGCCGCTCGTCACTGCGAGCTCTAACGACAACGCCTGGGCGAAGAGAAAATTCGGACTACTGCACATTCATTCAATAGAATTTTTGTTCGCAGAAATTCTGGACCCACAATGCATCACTTCTTGTTCTCGCTGCTAACTTTGTTCACGTGGTGACAACAACTAAAATTTCACAAAAAATAAGCTCACCTTAATTTAATGGCTATTGTATGCATTAAAATATTTGCACTCTTTAAACTTTGTTTATGGAAATGCAGCTAACATACGACGTCATGTGACGTCACAGTCTAGACGTTCCAAATGTCTCGTGCGGTTGGAAGAGGCGGATCTTAAAATGAAGTGAACAATGCGCTCGCCCCGACGGTCGCACCGTCAACATATTAAAAAATACGACATTTCCGAGTCATGTGTAGTGTATTTAGATGTACCATACGATAAATAGATACAAACGATCAACAATAGATATAAATTGATATCGTTGTCATTCCTACTCTTGATGTATATAAAGTTCACAACAATAAAATATTTCATTTGCATTTTCTTAGGATTTGGTCATCGACATCCAACATATTGTTTACATGTTTATGTTACATTTGTCCCAGAAATCCCGCGAGATTTGTACATTTTCCGACTTTTTCACAAAAGAGCGCACTAAGAAGTATAACTCTTCCATAGTGGAAAGAGAACGTATTATCATAATGATCATAATTAAGTTGGAACATCAAATTGCTATCTGTGCTTGTACAAAATGCATACATCATCAAGAGTAGTCTGTATTTGAAATATTTTGTTTTCGAAAAAATTGTAACACTTATAAGCGTGACAAAACTATACATATGGTACACAATAAATAACCGTTATTTTTATATTGCCTATAAAGAGTAGAAAGATTCCAAACTGTAACAGTTAAAAGAAGTCGGTGCAAATGTTTTTGGTCAAATGTTATTAATAAATGTCAAAAATATTGGCAAAAAAAAAATAAAAGTCAATGTTTGCTTGTTATATTGGTTTTGAATGAATTGACTATATAATGGTCTCCAGTATTAAACTCTGGTAAGACTAACTTAGAATTTTTTCTTCAGCAGTTGTCTTTATTATCAGATGGATGTTCCACCTTAAGTGAAGAAAATAAGACAATTAAGTCATATTAATTGCCATAGGCAATTAACACATACAGGATAGTAAAAATTTATTTTGTAGCCTGGCCCCCAACTTTTTTGAGTAGAGTATTTTGCTATAGTAAATCTTCCTTTAGATGCTGGTCCCCCCTTTCTTTTTTGTTGCTGTAAGGTAGAGTACAGGCAAACTCCAGTATTTGGACAAGTAATTAGGTGTCTTTTACATTTTATTTTTTTGCTTGTCAAATTTTTTGGGGAAAGTTGCCCCCCCCTCCCCCACTTTTGAAACCATTGCTATGGGCCTGGTAGCTCACCTGAACTATAAGCAACTATAAGCTCAAGTAAGCTTTTCTGATCACCCATTGTCCAGCATCTGCCTGTTTGTCTTTCCCCTTTGAAGGGGAAATAATGAAAAAAAGGCAAAAATAGGTGTGGTCATTTAAAAATCTTAATCTTCTATTCAAGATCCACTGGGCTAGAAAAGGTGACTCTTGATGTTTAAGTGGTTGATAATTCTGGCTACAAGAGAAACCTAAAAACTCTCAAAACTGGTCATAGCAGATAAATTATACTGAAGTAAATAATCAATCAATCCCCCATTTCCACCACATCCTTTTGATCAGTTTAGTTCCAAGAGTTAAGTCTTGATTTTGTGGATGATGGCTATAAACAAAAGAGATGATTTGTTTTTCTTCTTGGTGGTCACATGTCTTAAGTAATTGTGCTCTGTCATATAATTTAGCCTTTTTTATACCATCATTCACAAGTCGTATTGGGTATTTCATTTTATAAAAGTTTTCAATTCTTTTAGAATTCTTTTACATAGGAATATATAGGGAAAATCTTTAAAAAAATCTTCTTCTCAAGAAAAGCAAATCCATGAATGGTCATATTTATATGCATGCGCGGATATGGGGGGGAGGGTTCCCCTTAGAAAATGTGGACCCCACCATCACCACCACAAAATAGGTGTTTTTCACATTTGGGAAGTTGATTTTACCACTTTAACATTTTTTTTTGTTCGTCAAGAAGTTTTCTGGGTTACGTTTGGGAAGGGAATTTAGGTTTTTTTTTTTTGCTGTTCAAGAAAATTTTGGATGGATATTTTTTTTGACTGGGGTGAACCCCCCTGGAAAAAATTCATGGATCCATGCCTGATATGGAAGCATCACCAGGTAGAGTAGATTCAAGTTTGTTCAAATCATGACCTCCGGGGGTAGGGAGGGGCCACAGTGGGCGATCAATGTTTTTTACATCGAAATACATAGGGAAAATCTTTAAAAATCTTCTTCTCAAGAACAGCAAAGTCATGATTTGTCATATTTATATGAAAACATCCTCAGGTAGTGTAGATTCAAGTTTGTTCAAATCATGACCCCCAAGGAGTATAGAGGGGCCATAACAGGGGGTCATAGTTATATAAAGGACACATCAATAAATTTTTTCTCTTAAGAAGAGCTAAGCCATTATTAGTCATATTTATTCAAAAGCATTCTAAGGTGGTGTAGATTCAAGTTGTTCAAATCATAACTCCTCCCCCCCCCCCCCCCCCCAAACCACTTTTATATTTAAACTTTTCAGTACTGAACTGATTTCTGCTTTTTCCTAGCTAAAGTGCTCAGGTGAGCAGTGTGGCCCATGGGCCTCTTCTTAACTCATTCTCCAGAATTATACGCCCAATTTTAATAAAACTTGCCACAAAACATCCTTGGCTGAAGGGGGTTCAAGTTTGTGCAAAGGAAAGGCCACCCACTCAAGGGGAGATAAATTAAGATGTAGGGAAAATTGGATGGTGTCATTCAAAAATCTTCTCAGAAACCACTTGGCCAGAAAAGATGAAACTTATGTGGAAGTTCCATAACATAGTGTTGATTCAAATTTCTTCAAATCATGACCTCAGGGGCTAGGGCCTGCCACAACAGGTGATAGGGAAAAAATCTTTATAAGTTTTCTCCTCAAGGTTTAGCAGAGCTGTGATTGGTCATATTGATATGGAAGCATCCTCATCAACTGTAGGATCAAGTTTGTTCACATTATGACCCCTGGGGCTATTGCAGGTTACAATAGGAAATCAAATTTTGATGTAGGAATATACAGGAAAAATTCTTTAAAAATCTTCTTCACTCTCAAAAACATCAAAGCCATAATTTGTCACATTTTTTAGAAAACATCTTCAGGCAGTGTAGATTTAAGTTTATTTAAATAATAACCCCCGGGACTGTCGCGGATGTATTCCGGAATTCGGAATATCGACCATGAAAAGTCTAAAGTTATGTTAAATTATTTTGTAAATTAACCTGTTCCTGGTTTTTGACTTCAGTTCTCTGACTGTCTTATTGTAGCAAATTTTTAGCATCAGTTTGATAATCTAATTAGCGCATTAACCTTTCAGTATACTTGAGAATTGAATATTGCGTTGTTAGTGAATATTATAGCATTTGCTACCTTGTGTACAACAAAATATGCGTGGACAGTTTATCTATTTTTATCCCGAGGGGGCATGTAACACCTGGGGGTCTAATGAGATGCCGGGAGTGTGGAGCACGCGGTTTCAGGGAGAACAAAGGAGGTCTGTAGATAGATAGACGTAGTTCATTTGGTTGGATGTAGATCGGTGTGCATTAGTATTTTGGTTAGGAAGATTGGGGAAGTGTAGTTTATATATTTGTTTAGTAGTGAAGGTATAAGAAGACCACAGAGTTGTTGGACTGTTGTCCTAATGTTTGTCGTTTCATTACCTATGTCACCGGGTTCACAGGTGCGTGAGAGTCAGTCAATATTTCGGGTCTCAATAGCTCAGTGGTTAGAGCACTGGCACGGTACGCCAAGGGCCCTGGGTTCGAGTCCCGGTTGAGACTTGATTTTTCACCACCTGTGACACCTATGAGGGTGTTTGTTGAATCTTTGTCATAATGTAGTTATGACTGTCGCTTTACTGTGCTTGTAAAGTGTGAAACTCTGTGTCTTGAGTGTTTTGTGATTTAGTTGTTTGTGCTGTAGAGCATTGGTTTTTGTCTTCGCCCGGAATCTTCCTTGATTTGGCTTAAGTATATTCATGACATGTTCTGTAAATATGTTATCTATATTATTCTGTAAATACATTGTGCATATCTGTATATTTGGGCAGTGCACATCAGAGTAGTTCTTATTATCCCTAAGGTCTGATTCTTTGCAGACCCGATCCCTAGTGTAGTGAAGAGACCGGTTTGGATCTGACCCGTCCCCCCTACACGTTATAGGACT